ATAATTCCGGCTACTTGGAAGGCTGAGGTGGAAGTATCGCCGGAGCCCAGCAGGTCGAGGCTGCGGTGGCCGGAAGCGACCACTGCACTCCAGTCTGGGCGACAGAGTGAGACTCCAACTAAAAAAAAAAATTAGCCAGGCATGGTGGTGCCTATAGTATAGTTTCAGCTACCCAGGAAGCCGAGGTGGGAGGATCACCTGAGCCCAGAAGATGGAGGCTGTCATAAGCTGTGATCACCGTGATCATGCCATTGCACTCCAGCCTGGGCAACAGAATGAGACTCCAACTCAAAAAAGAAAGAAAACATCCATTCCTGTGCCCTCCACAGTAGATAACCCCCACATGCACTTGTCTATGTGCATTCTCAAATGTGTCGTTATCTGTCTTTAAAAGTGTGAAGGAAGAAGTATTCTGGAGAAACTACTTTTACCGTGTATCCCTGATTAAGCAGTCGGCCCAGCTCACAGCCCTTGCAGCCCAGCAGCAGGCTGTGGGGAAAGAGGACAAGAACAACGGAAGGGAGGAGGATCTGCCGCTGACAGGTACACTCAGGGGAGAAGACAGCACTGCAGAAAAACTTATTCTGAACATAGAGGCTCCAATGAGCTTGACCTCTTGTATATGACAGAAATATTGTCATCATCTAATGCTGCTTTGGTTACTATCTCCCTGACCCAGCTCACATGTCTTTCCCAAGCTTTCTTTTACTTTATCTCCTTTCTCATTCCTTGGGGTTTTTTGTTTGTTTGGTTTTTGTTTTTTATTTATTTATTTTGAGTCAGAGTCTTACTCTGTTGCCCAGGCTGGAGGGCAGTGGCACACTCATGGCCACCACAGCCTCAACCTGCTGGGCTCAGGCGATCCTTCCAAGTAGCTGGGACTACAGACATGCACCATCACACTAGGCTGATTTTTTTGATTTATTGTAGAGACGAGGTCTCACCATGTTGCCCAGGCTGGTCTCGAACCCGTGGGCTCAGGCAATCCTCTTGCCTCAGCCTCCCAAAGTTCTGGGATTACAGGCATGAGCCAGCATGCCTGGCTTATTTTTGTTTTTAGACATGCAGTCTCGCTGCGTTGCCCAGGCTGAACTCGAATTCCTGGGCTCGAACAATCCTCTGACCTCAACCTTCCAAGTAGCCAAGATTATAGGGATGAGCCATCATGCCTGGTGTTTTTATTTCTCAAATATCAGTCCTCTTTCCCACCTCTTTGTTTTGGTCCTTTACCATGTGACTTTTACACTTTCTATCCTTCACTCTGATTCAGTCTGCCTCCTTTTTGTTTTTTCTCAGTCTTTTCTTCAACCTGGTGTTTCCTCAGCATATGTGTAGTCTGTAGAACAGAATAAAACTCCAGTCCACTCCAAGTTATGAGTATTAAGCTCTGAGTCTAGGCATATTAAACAGTTGAACACCTTATTGTGACGCTTTTCCCCTGGTTGTGGGGGAAAGTGTTTTACAATATCAGCAGCTATTTGAGATCTATAATCATAATTTTAAAGATGTATTTCATGCCTTATTTTCATTTTTTGTGAGTACCTGCTGTACATAGGTAGATGCTAAGTACAACTGAACAACTACCCCACAAGAAATGGAGTGATTTAATTCATGGAATTTTAAATGATTAGGCAAAACAGTGTGTCTTAAGGTACAGGTTGTACAGACTATTAGGACAGGATCCGACACTGCACTTAGAGCTATGGAAGAGTGATGAAGGTGTTCTGCACAGGAGAATGGGTCATGTTGTGTACTGATGTTAACATGCATCCCAATTGTCTTAACATTTGTATTAATTATATTGGGAAATGCCATTTGCCAAATTTTTCCTGTTTAACAAAATGGACTTCAGACATTATTCAGTAAAGCCTGTCTGTCTGGTAGGGTTAATAAGATCGAAAATGAGGCCTGTGGGAAAGAGGAGGGCTGCTGTGATCAAGCATTGCATTTTCCTTTGCGCTTTCTAGCATTTGTGACACCAAGGAAGCTTGATAATAACCTAATGCTCATTATCCTAAAAGAAAGTCCATGAATTCTTCAATGAATTTTGCTAATGCTGAAGTCAAAAATTATTTCCTAGACTGGGCATGGTGGCCCATGCCTATAATCCCAGCACTTTGGGAGGCAGAGGTGATAGGATTGCCTAAGCCCAGGAGTTTGAGAGACCAGCCTAGGCAACTTGGTGAGGCCTCCCCTTTACAATAAATAAAATAAGGAATAATTTTAGCCAGGCATGATGGTGCGCACCTGTAGTTCTAGCTACTTGGAAGAATGAAGTGGAAGAATCACTTGAGCCCAACTGGTCAAGGCTCCAGCAGCCGTGGGCATGCCACTGCACTCCAGCCTGGACAACAGAGTGAGACTTCGACTCCAAAAAAAAAATTTATTTCCTACTGGAAATTTTATATAAAGAGCATTGAATGTGATGACATATTAAAAATACTTCCAGAGCTGGGCTTGGTGGCTCAGCCTGTAATCCTGCGCTTTGGGAGGCTGAGGTGAGTGGATTGCCTGAGCCTGTGGGTTCGAGACCCACCTGGGCAACTTGGCGAGACCTCATCTCTACAATAAATCAAAAAATTAGCCCGGGCGTGGTAGCGCACGCCTGTAGTTCCAGCCACTGGAAGGCTGAGGCGGAAGGATCACTGGAGCCCAGCAGGTTGAGGCCCGGCCACTGCACTCCAGTCTGGGTAACAGAGAGACTCCAACTCAAAAAAAAATACTTCCAGGAGGTCGAGGCAGAAGGATCACTTTAGTCTAGGGATTTGAGTCCAGCCTGGGCAACAGAGTAAGACCCTCCTCTCTGTAAATACATAAATAAGCAAATAAATGCCCCAAAGTAAGAGGTTGAAATGGCTTCACATGGTTAGTTTCTGTAATGACTTAAGCTGAAATCGTAACATAAAAGCTCATTTCTGAAAATTATTTAGTATCATTATACTTGTGGATATTTTAGCTGTAATTATAATTTGTATTAAGAAGGAAATCAAGCAATTATTGTCTCTTTTTTTCTCACTTCTTAGAGGCAGTTCGGCCCAAAACGCCACCTGTCGTAATCAAATCTCAGCTTAAAACTCAAGAGGTAATCCAGTTTTACATTGTACCTAGTAGTTGATGTCTGGAAGTGAAGTAACTGTGTTAAGTATCTCTGATACCATTTAAACCTACTTATGAATATGGGTCTTAACTGCTTTGAAAAAGAAGCGTCCAGTACTTGAATAGTCAAGGACCTACAGCTGTGACATGCGCCATTTACTGGCATATATATGTAATTCTCGAGGTATTTATCGGGGATTGGAGAGAATGGTTGGAGTAATTCAAAATGTGAGTGAGAATAATAGCCTCAGGTGGTAACTCGCTTTGTTACCAAGCAACTGTGCAAGGTAGAAGATTGGAGAGCAGCGATCATTGTCTTACAGCAGCCAAAGAAAGGAAATGAAAATTGGGCTGCATTTAATTGTGAGACAACTATTAACCAGAATAATTACACATAAATATCCCTTGGAAAACCATGTCAAGAGCTCATTTGTTGCATTTCAGGATGAGGAGGAAATTTCTACTAGTCCAGGTGTTTCTGAGTTTGTCAGTGATGCCTTTGATGCCTGTAACCTAAATCAGGAAGATCTGAGGAAAGAAATGGAGCAGCTAGTGCTTGACAAAAAGCAAGAGGAGACAGCCGTACTAGAAGGTAAGAAAACAAAACAAACCATTCCCTTCCCTTATTCCAAAGCTGATTGTAGATAATTGTTCATTTGAAGCCAGTGTACAAATAGATACTAAATTTTGCATCAAAATTGGTTTTCTCTTCCCCACTGGATGGTGGAGTCTTAACAAACATGGCCAGATCTCACAGAAGCAGGTCAAAGGGTTTGGGAATCTAGTTTGACCTTAGAACCACTGTGGTGAAACTCCCAATCTAGAAGGGAAAGCTTGAGACTCAGAAAGGTTAAGCTATTCTCCCAAGGCACTTAAAGACATATGACCAGGAGTGGGACGAGAGAGCATGTACCCCTATGCATGTGGGAGATACTGTCCTCCAGCCTTCCGCTTTTTTATTTTTTTGAGATGGAGTCTCACTCTGTCGCCCAGACTGGGGTGCAGTGGCCGCTCCCGGCCACCGTGGCCTCGACCTGCTGGGCTCCGTGATCCTTCCGCCTCAGCCTTCCCGGTAGCTGGAACTACAGGCCCGCACTACCACGCCCAGCTAATTTTTGATTTATTGTAGAGATGAGGTCTCACCAAGTTGCCCAGGCAGGTCTCGAACCCGAGGGCTCAGGCAATCCACTCACCTCAGCCTCCCAAGGCGTAAGGTTTTATTTAAAGATGAAAATGAGTCTTAGCTTTACTTTTTAAATAGCCAGGGTTTTTTTTTCTGTTTTCTAACAATGCATAGCAAGTACATTATCCAACAAACACAGACCCACACGTTTAGTGTCCAAGCAGCTCTAAGTCTCAACATGAAAGACCAGTGTGACAGCTCCAGACACCATGGGAGGGCCCAGGCTTTTTTTTTTTTTTTTTTGGGTTGGAGTCTCACTCTGTCGCCCAGACTGGAGTGCAGTGGCTGCTCCTGGGCTCTGCAGCCACGACCTACTGGGCTCCGGCGATCCTTCCGCCTCAGCCTTCCAAGTAGCTGGAACTACAGGCGCGCACTACCACGCCTGGCTACTTTTTGATTTATTATTTATTAAGTTGCCCAGGCGGGTCTCGAACCTGCAGGCTTAGGCAATTCACTCACCTCAGCCTCCCAATGGCACGGAATTACAGGGTGAGCCACTGATCCCGGCTTTTTTTTTTTTTTTTTTTTTTAAAGTGGTACTCTCACTCTGTTGCCCAGGCTGGAATGCAGTGGCATGCCCACAGCCACCACGGCCTTGACCTGCTGGGCTCAGGCGATCCTTTTGCCTCAGCCTTCCAAGTAGCTGGAACTATAGGCATGTGCCACCATGCCTGGCTAATTTTTTGATTTATTGTAGAGATGGGTTCGCACCAAGTTTCCCAGGCTGATCTTGAACCCCTGGGCTCGGGCTATCCTCTTGCCTCCCAAAGTGCTGGGATTACAGGCTTGAGCCACTGAGCCCCAGGTGTTGCTACTCTTCAGAGACAGGATCTTTGTCCACGTAGTCATTGAGCACAGGCTGAGGAGCCTGAAGATCTGACTCCATCCTAATATTTGTCGCTGTCAAGCAATGTGATCCTAAGCAAGTTGCTTTACCTCTTTAATCCTCCATTGTCCCATCTGTAAGATGCGGCTAGCAGTGGTATCTTTTCTATGGATTGTTCTAAGGATAAAAAGAGTGATACATAGAAAGCAGTTAGGCCAGTGCCCATTTTGGTAAGTGCTTGATAAACTGTAGCTAGCCGGGCTTGGTGACTCAGCCTGTAATCCCAGCACTTTGGGAGGCTGAGGTGAGTGGATTGCCTGAGCCCACGGGTTCGAGACCCGCTTGGGCAACTTGGTGAGACCTCATCTCTACAATAAATCAAAAAATCAGCCGGGCGTGGTAGCGCACACCTGTAGTTCCAGCTACTTGGAAGGCTGAGGCGAAAGGATCACCTGAGCCCAACAGGTCAAGGCTGCGGTGGCCGGGAGTATACCCCTGCACTCCAGTCTGGGCGACAGAGTGAGACTTCAACTCAAAAAAAACAACAACAACAACAACAACAAAAACTGTAGCTGGTTTTGCTACCGTTGCTATCATTGGTAGTGGTAAAAGTTAATTTGCAACCAAATATTAATGCTTAGTCACCCATTTAAATAAAGGAAAAAGTCTAGGTAAAGCAAAATAATACCCAAAATGTATTGACTACATCTGCTACCTTTGCTTCTCCATTACCAAATTTATCTTTTATAATTATGTTTCTCCTTAGTCACTGCTAAAATTTGTTCAGTTTTTCTGAGCATACACAGTCATGAAGTCCAAGATGGTAGAAATGATGGTGTCTAGGACTTGACTTTAGGCAGTTGACCGAATTGTTCCCACCAATGTTATGAGTTCAGAAAGAATCTATTCCTTCTCTTTTGTTTCTTGTAGAGGATTCTGCAGATTGGGAAAAAGAACTACAGCAGGAACTTCAAGAATATGAAGTGGTGACTGAATCAGAAAAAAGAGATGAAAATTGGGATAAGGAAATAGAGAAAATGCTTCAAGAGGAAAACTAGCTGTTTCTGAAATACAAGAGTAATCCTTAACATTCTGCACACTGACATTAAATAAATTCCAGATGTTGACACTCACTGAGTCAGAAGGCATAAAAGAGCGTAACTTTATGACATTCAAAATTACCCTTTTTCAAGCTGAAACTTGCCTCTTCTTTAAAAAATTATATAAAATAGTTAATTGTAATAATCCAAAAGGGATGTTTTAGATAACATTTATTTAATATAAATGAAGTTAGAGATGTTCTTGTAGGCAATATACGTATCTTTGCCACAGAAACACAAGTAAAACTTTAGAGTTCTGTTTCCCATGAGGTCAAAAATATAATTTATTCTTCAGTCATGGTGTTCTACACATTTGTACTCCTCATTGTTTTTCGGATGTTAAAGTACTTAATGGGTTGATTACTATCAAAATCACCAAATTATACCAAAGAACTTTAGAGGAAGCACTTTGCTGGGCTCGGTAGCTCAGCCTATAATCCCAGCACTTTGGGAGCCTGAGGCTAGTGGATTGCCTGAGCCCGCAGGTTCGAGACCAGCCTGGGCAACCTGGCGAGACCTCGTCTCTACAATAAATAAAAAATTAGCCAGGCGTGGTAGCAAACACTTGTAGTTCTGGCTACCTGGAAGGCTGAGGGGGAAGGATCGCTGGAGCCCAGCAGGTCAACGCAGGAGTGGCCATGAGTGTGCCACAGCACCAGCCTGGGTGACAGGGTGAGACTCCA